GGGTAGTTGAAGAATCATCAATACATATGTTCAGTTTTTTAGAGATCCCCAACAATGGCTTGGTAATTAGATCTGCTTGTTTTTTCATCATCTTACTTAGGATATAGTTTATCTGAGCCTGATGATTTGAACTCAACAAGAACAACGAGGTATCTTATTCCTATTTGGAACTAGGTCTTTATTGAGCTATCCTTGTTTGGCCTTTTCTAGTCCAAAGGTCACTCTGTTTGGCAGAGGGAATAAAAGTAAAATAAAGAGTTGAGAATTTCTCTCTCCAGCCTCAGCAGCTGTCTTCTTTCTTCTTTGATCCTCCTCTTTCATTCAGTATTTTGAAATATGTTTTAAATTGTTTCATTAAATATTTCCCAATTACATAAAAAGTTTAATATTCATTTTTTTAAATTTTGAGTTACAATTTCACTCCCTCCTGCCCTTTTCCACATCTTGGGAAGGCAAGCAGTATTAAAATGTGAAGTCATACAATATATATTTCCTTATTAGCCACGTCACAAAAGAAAGCACACATAAGAAAAACAAAGGAAGTAAAAAACAGTGTGTTTCAAACTGGACTAAGAGTTCATCAGTTCTCTCTCTGGAGATTGGATAGCTTTTTTCATCGTGGGTCCTTTGGAATTATTTTGGATCATTGTATTGATCTGAGTAGCTAAATCTTTCACAATTGATCATCCTTACAATATTGCTGTTGCTATGCACAGTGTTTTTCGGGTTCTGCTCACTTCACTTTGCATCAGTTCATGTCTTCCCAGGTTTTTCTGAAACCATCCTGCTTGTCATTTCTTATATAGCACAATAATATTCTATCACAGTCATATACCACAACTTGTTAAGCTGTTCCCAATTGATGAGCATCCCCTCAATTTCCAATTCTTTGCCATCATGAGAAGAGCTGCTATAAATATTTGTGTGTGTGTGTGTGTGTGTGTGTGTGTATCTCCTTTTTCCTTTTCTTTGATCTCTTTGGGATATAGATTTAGAATGGTATTGCTGGATCAAAGGGCATGCACAGTTTTAGAGCCCTTTGGGCATAGTTCCAAATTATTCTTCAGAATAGTTAGACCAGTTCACAGCTCTGCCAGCAGTTCATTAGTATACCTATTTTTCCACATCCTCTCTAGCATATCATTTTCCTTTTCTGTCATGTTAACCACTCTGATAGGTATGAGGTGGTACCTCAGAGTTATTTCAATTTGCATTTCTCTCATCAGTAGTGATCTGGAGCATTTTTTTCATGTGACTATTGGTAACTTTAATTTCTTCTTTTAAAAACTGCCTATTCATATTCTTTGACCATTTATTGATTGGAAACTGGCTCCTATTTTTATAAATTTGGCTCAGTTCCCTATATATTTGAGAAATGAAGAAAACCTTTTTCATTTCATATAATCAAAATTCTGTTTTACTTCCCATGATCTTCTCCATCTCTTGTTTGGTCATAAACTCTTCCCTTATCCATAGATTTAACAGGTACATTTTTCTATGCTCCCCCAATTTACTTATGATATCACCCTTTATGTCTAAGTTATTTATCAATTTTGACCTTATCTTGTTATAAGATGTGAGATACTGATCTGTGCCTAGTTTCTGTCAAACTTCTCTCCAGTTTTCCCAGTAATATTTGTCAAATAGTGAGTTCTTCCCCAAAAACTTGGATCTTTGGGGTTATCAAACACTAGATACTACAGTCATTTGCTGCTGTGTGTTGTGTACTTATAAGCACCTTTTTTGGTTGCCTATCTTTCCTCTCTAGCCCCCATTCATCCTGAATGTTCACACTCCTGACACAATCCTTACAGGAGCGTGTCGTACTTTTGTTTCTGTTGTCTCTTACCTGGCCTTCCTTCCATCTTTTAAAAATCTAAGTTGGCTCATGGGTTTCCTGGGCATCCACGTCAGTCTCTTTAAACAACCTTCTTCTTTTCTCCATTAGAATTGCTCCCCTTTGTATATTCAGAATGTCAGTTTTGAGCTTTTCTCATCCTTCCTGGGCTGATTTTGATCATAGGAGTTTAGTCCATGGCATCCTATCAGTCCTTCCTCTGAACTCTTTCAGATCCATTCTTCTCACATCTAGGTTGAACAGCAGACTCCTCCTGGCCTGAAGTGGTTGCTTCCTCCTGAAGTTGACATCATTTTCACAGTGGATACCAGTTCTTCTTTGGTGGTAAAAATCAGATTCAGAATACGTTTTTCCCTTTGAAGTTCCTCAGCATTTTGAAGGCCGACTTTTTCATTAAGGCAAATCAAGAAATTGTTACCTGATCCATCTTAAATTGACAGAGAACTCTGGGAGATATTCAGATAAATGAAATCACTTATGTCCTGTCAGTGTCAAGCTTACTTAACCCTTTTCCCTCTTTCTCCAGGTCTTTAGTGTACTCTAATGATAGTTGACAGGTGGACACCAGAGGTGGATGAGCAGCCCCAAAAACGGCTTGGCAAGCCCTCACTCCAGAGGTGCAACTCTGAGGGCTTCAGGACTGCTTGTCCACCTTTGGTGTCCAACTGTTACCCAGCTATCACCTGTGGCAGATGGGCTCAACCAAGTTTAGGGTTACCAATAGGCCTCAAAACTGTAGGTGTCAGAAGGATATCTGCCCTAAGCATGTGAAGACTTCCCCCAGTGGAATGGGCAGATGAGAACAATTTGTTCCTACAGTCCTGAAGGCAGTTGAAGCAGGTGCCATGGAGCCCTTCGAGCTTGCTCAGACACTGAGGATACCAAAGTCATCCACTGCATCCTGAGCCATCACTAATAGTCTTCACTTTTGTCCCGCCACAGGCCTTTGATGACCGGAAGAAAGAGTGAGGCTGACGACTGTGCACCTCTGCCTCACAACAGCACTATACTCTGACGACAGAGTTGCTTCTATTTTTCTTTCTGTTGGTCTACACCAAAATGCTCCCTACCATGCTTCCTGATTCTGAATGTTTTCTTACAATACAATGTCACTCACTGGCCTGCCCACCGCTTCTGTTTTCATTGAGAATGGAATACTTTTCTTTTTTTTTTTCTTTCTTACTTTTTTTTTTTAAGGCAATTGGGGTTAAGTGACCTGCCCAGGGTCACACAGCTAGTAAATATCAAGTGTTTGGTCTGAGGCCGGATTTGACCTCAGGTCCTCCTGACTTCAGGGCCGGTGCTCTATCCACTGCGCCACCTAGCTGCCCCGACAATGAAATACTTTTCCAAAGCCATATTCTTCTTGTAGTTCTCATTCCACCAAGTCTTAGTAATCCTCATGGTGTCGGATTTGCCTTGTCTTGCTTGTTACCCATAACTTTATGCATTTGGATAAAGAGGTAGTGTTGCAGCTTTAGTATTAGAGGAACCTCAGATGCTTCAGCCTAACCCTGCCATTTTGACAATGATGGAACTGAATCCCAGGGATATTAAATGACTTGACAGAGTTACATTGGTAATAAGTAGTGTGTGAAGTCTGGTCTTTTGATTCTAGAGTCAGTGCCCTCTCTGAGGCGTTGTACTTTTTTAGTGCTTCTTGGTCTAGGTTTTCTTTTCCTGTGACCTTCCAAGTGCTTCTCCTGCTATACTGACTCCTATATTTTAGCTCTATCCATTATATCTAGCTTGGTGGGTTTGTTTCAATGGCTTTCTCCCTTCTACTTCCTTTGCATTTAAAATAACCTGAATTTTATTTGTAATATTCCAGCTATAAACACATGATTTTATCTAGCCCTTATTAGGTATGTTCATCTTCGGAGTCAACATCTCCCTCCTCTTTGGGAATATCTGCTTTTGGCTCCCAGTGTTCAGTTGCCCTTCTTTCTTCTCTGTTGTACTATCTTTAAATCCTTTTTCTTCTTTGTTTTCACATTAAAGTCCTTCCTCAGTTTTTAAAAAAGAAACTTGATTCTCCTCAATAATTGAGAAATATTCTTACAGCCCATTTGCCCTCTCATAGGAGGGAAACCAACATGCGTTATTATGGGTAGCAGCCACTTGGCAAAAATACAAAAATTGTACACGGTGCAAGTCACTGCAAAATCCACCCTGTTCTCCATACTTAGGGAAAGTTAAATCCTCAGTCCTTATCTTACTTCTTTCCCAAGAGAACTACTTATATTCTAATTGAGAGGTAGGTGCCTAGGTAGAGCTAGAGAGAATGATCCTATAGGGAGGAAGAATTGAAAAGGGCCTGTGATCTAAGCTTTACAGTGGGGCTGAGTGAATCCAAGTTAGAGTCAAGATTCCCTGGAGGTGCGCAGAGCAGAAACAGGACTAGGAACCCTATGAAGCTGCCCAGAGGCATAAGGAATACATTCTAGGCGAAAGGGGCTGAGGGGACTATGCTGACCGGATTGGTACTAGGCATGAGGAACCAACCCTGTGCAGTGCTGAGTTGAGTGGAGAAGCTTGATGATATTGGGAATGTTCTTCATTGGGGCAACTTTATGGGAGCATGCTGATTCCTTTAAATACAGTGGGAAGGGAAGGGAAAAAGCATTTATTAATCGACTACTATATGCCAGACACAATTAGGTGTTCTTCAGATATTACAGATACCTCATTTGATCTCCCAATCCTGGGAAATGTGCTGTTATTATCCTCCTCATTTTATGGTTGAGGAAACTGAGGCAGACAGAGTTTAAGGGACTTGCCCAAAGTCACACAGCTGGACACGTCTGAGGTAGGGTTTGGACGTCGGTGTTTCTGAGTTCAGGTCCAGTGCTCTATCCACTTTAGCCACTGCCCCGCCTAGCTGATTGTGAAATCCAGAAAGACTGACTCTGCAAAGGTCAAGGAAACAGCACTAGAGCAACAAGCTGTAGCAGACCAGTGATGGGGGTAGTGGATTGGCCTTTGGAAGTAAGTGGGAGCCTTGACTATTGAAGAGACTGGTTCAGTTTGGGGAAGAAGGTAAAGGAAGTTTCCCGTTATACCTTTTGTCATTAACAATAGCTGAGGACTCGGTCGGCCAAGTATTCTGATAATCGGTGTCTGCTTCTCTTTGGGTCTGCAGATTGCTCCACCTCCATCTCTGGCAGAACCGCTGAAGGAATTATTTAAGCAGCAGGAAACTGTAAGGGGAAAACTCCGTCTCCAGCACAGCATAGAGCGAGTAAGAAAGCTTCAAGAGTATATCAGAATGGGAGAACTTGTTACTGGGATCTCAGTCCTCTGCTTAAAGAAGTGTGTCCCATTTCAAATTACTTCTCTCTTGTTCCCAGGAAAAGCTGATTGTTTCATGTGAACAGGAGATTTTGCGGGTTCACTGTCGAGCAGCGCGGACAATAGCTAACCAGGCTGTCCCATTCAGTGCCTGTACCATGCTGCTGGACTCTGAAGTCTACAACATGCCCCTGGAAAGTCAGGTCAGTGGTTTTCCCCAGGAGCAGGTATCCCTCTCCAGCCGCAAGGACACGTTTGTCCGTCTTACTGATAACACATCTCATTTTGCAGGGGAGGAGGTGGTTTGGCTAAAGTCGCCTAAAATGGAGGCCAGTTAACTCATCCTTCCTGATTGAGATCCTGACCAGTCATTTAATTCAGAGCAGTATTTACCTCCCAAGTGGAGAACAATCCGACATCACTTTTGGTTATGCTGTACCCAAATTTTTATTCCAAATTATATAAACAAATTCAAAACTAGCCTCACCTGTTCTCTCTCCTCCACCTTTCATCCCAGGTCACAACAGTGATGCATCAATGTCTATTTTAAGATATGCAGCACGCATCTGCCCTTATCCTGTCTCCTAAAGTAGAGCCTCCAACAATCAAGAAAAAGTTGGAAATGTTGTGCTTTCCTGTACTTAGTAGATGTTAATTACTGATTATTGACTTGGAAAGCATCAGCAGCATTGGAACTTGCTGCTTTTCCAAAGCTCATTGTGGCCCTTGCTGAAAGCCAGGCCAGCTTTTGGGAGATAGTGCTGACGTAGCATCTCCTGCCTGTAGTATGCTGAGCAAGGCCTCTGGCTTTCCACTCAAGACCCGTCTTCATCAGCCTCTTCCTCTGCTTCACTTTATATGGCCTTCACTGCGATGCCTGCCGTGAGCCCACCGATACCTTTTCACTAGGAAAGATGGATGTATGACCACCTGTGGCTCGGCATCTCTGGCCTTCACTAAGGAAAGACTTCAGAAGGTCTGAGATAAAAGTGGAGAATTGTCTGTCTGACTTGATGCGTCAGTGCTGTCAGCGTGAGGCAGTGTGGAGGCTCTGGTGTCTGTTTTCTTAATCTGTTTTTATTCTTTTCCCCAGAAGATGGGATAGGACATTTCTATCTATTGTACTTGTTCCGCCTTACTAAAGTTCTCTTTCCTTGGTTGGTTCCACAGGGGGACGAAAATAAGTCAGTGAGAGATCGTTTCAATGCTCGACAGTTCATTTCCTGGTTACAGGATGTAGATGACAAATACGACCGGATGAAGGTTAGAACCCTTTCCTTCTCTACAGTCTTGGAATATTTTTAGGGCCCAAAGAAGCCACTCGTGGAGTCTGTCACTGTCCCATCGAACATTTTTAAAGGAGACTTTACTTTTGTCTCTGAAAGCTAGAATGAGACATGGGGCTTTCCCTTTCCTTGAGATAAGCTCATCCTGAGGCTCCCACACAGGAGGGCCTCTGGAGAAGTTGTTCTCACTGTCTGGATGCTGTCAGTCCGAGGCAATCACACAGGGCCTGTTCAATCACTGACCAGCACTGCTTGGTCCTTCTGCCACACGAGGGTCAGAAACATTGTCTCGTTTGGGGGGGTTGGAAGGCCTTTTAGATTTAGAAGATTTTATCTTTGGTTTGAAGTCAGTGAAAAGCAGAGCTTTGGTCAAGTGCAGGTCTGGTAGCTTTAACTCATGGTCAGTCCTTTTCTACGGGCCCAACCATATTTCATCCGACAGATTGTTGTATTATAGTTAGCCTCCCTGCTGTGAGATTCAGCACCATGGGTCTAATGTCAGGCAGGAATCGCTTAAGGGGAGAGTCACGTAAAGGAATCCTGTGCCTGGGTGCTTCCACATATGTTATTGGTGATAATATTAATAACTTGTGGAAGTTAGGAACACTGGGTACAAGGCTAGTTCTGTCCGAGAAGCTCCTGGGTTGTGATCGTCACCCTGCCGGTCGATCAGCGCCAGCCTCTGGGCCGGCTGCCGCGGGGAGTGGAGGGGTCCCTACCGTGCTTTCCTGTTCCCCCCCGCTCACTGCCCGTTTTGTCTCCCACACAGACATGTCTGTTGATGCGACAACAACACGAAGCAGCAGCTCTCAACGCGGTGCAGAGGATGGAGTGGCAGCTGAAGGTCCAGGAGCTGGACCCTGCAGGGCACAAATCTCTCTGTGTGAATGAGGTGCCGTCCTTCTATGTGCCAATGGTCGATGTCAACGATGACTTTGTGCTCTTGCCAGCATGACAAGACCAGATCCCAAGACAGTCTCACAGGAAACTGGCAAAGGCAGGAGCCTTCCTGGACGAATGGCTGAGCTCCTGTTCATCCCGAATGCTTGTTGATGAATCCCTGGGTGGAAGGAAGAAACATCTCTCGGGGGTGGGGGGGTGGGGGAGAGGGAGCGAGAGAACAGTTGCACTTTCTTCACAACGTCTCCACCACTTCTGGACTGATGGCAGGCACCCAGCCACAGAAGTGGGAAATGCATCTCTTGTATGAACCAGGTGCTTCAGCGGAGGGTGAAAAGCTTGCACACTACGCGAGTCTGACTAAACAGCAACACAGCAGAGGGCCTGGACGGGCTCGAGGCTGCCCTGCCACCATCTGTGTAGCCGGAGCTGCTGAGCAGGGGCCAGGAGTCATAGAGGTTTCCATCTTTGTGGAAATGGCAATTTTCAGATCTGTGTTTTCCATTCAGCTGCAGATTCATTTCAGAGAAGTTGCAGAAGAGAATTCATTTTTTTAAGTTTCTCGTTCCATGCGGATCTAATAGAAAAAAATTAAGTAAAAGGCACCCGACCACCTTTCATGGACAAAAATGTAGTGGGGTGGAGCCAATGGACTTCCAAGTCTAAGGATGCTTTCCAGCTAAAATCCCAGGGCAGCCACTGGTCCCCGTTTTTTCAGACAGCTGGGCTGTGGACGCTTGTGTGGAGCGAGGGCCCAGGCAGTGCCATCTGACCCCTCCAGAAGTTGGGGGGCAAGTGGTGACCCAGAGCTAGGACTCTGCCAATTGTGTTTTTAATGGAGTCAAATCCATGTGGTTTATATATTTTTTCCTTTAATCTTGGGCATTTTGTTTCTCTTTCTGAGAACATAACTTGAAAACACTACAGAGCCAATACTCATATAAAAATGTATCCCATAAATGCTGTACAGTTTTTATATACATTAACAATGTACTTTTGCTGCCTTCTAGATAATTTATTTTGCAACACATTACTGCACAGTTGTAAATAACTTATGTACTGTAACATCACTTTCAGTTATGTGTAAAGAAATAAATAAATTAATTAAAATTATCTTTGTATATGTATAGTTCACATTAGGCAGCACTTTCCCTTTCAAGGAAACAGAAGGGCCAAAATGGCATGCAACATTCAGTATTCTGAAGCCTGTCTTCTAACCAAAAGAAAGACAAGATAACTCCACTCGGAATTTGCATTCTTCTCTTTCTCAAAATATTAACACCCCCCCCCTTTTTTTTTTCTCCTTTCTTCCCTGTCCTTTAAGTTAGGACACGTAGCAAAACTCCCTGCCCGCATGGTCCAGCTGGTAATGTGTTTCACCGGGCTTGTGCCGGGGTCCTTCTCTCTTCAGGAGGCTGGGGGTGGTAGAGAGGCAATGAAAGAAATCTGGTCCGACTCGGAGAGGCCTAGAAGAGAAGTCTGTCATCACTCTTGCTTTAAGATGAGCTTCCTGCCCTAGGTCAAGGGGGACTCATTCAAACTCTCCTGCATGAGGGAGGAGCTGAGCTTCCTTAGAACTGTAGGAAACAGTCTTATTTTTCTGGTGGAAAAGATGTTGTTCCATTAGAGAGCATGAAAAGTAATTTATCACAGGAGGAAATCTTAGCAGTTTATGGAAGAAGTGACCTCGAGTCCATGATGGGGGAAAATTGGGAGCCCTCTGGCAGCCCAGGACAATCCATTCCCAGCTTTGGGCCACTTTGGGGACATCTGCTGTTCTTTCTGTAGTTCCTCCCGTGTTCCGCAGAGACAAGGCCTTATTTGGAAGAAGCTTGTCTATTTCACTCATCGAGCTCTATCCAAAAGCAGTGTGCAGGAAGGAGAAGTGGCCTTGCTGGCATTTTTACCTATTGGTCACGTTTCTCTTCTAGGGCCACTCGGGTGTTAAGGGCAGTGTGGAGAAGGGAAAAGGGGGTACAGCAGAAAGGGCTTTCATCCACACTGACGAGAACAGCAGCGTCCCAGAGGCAGAGACGCTCCCTGCTGCCTGTTCAATGTCACTTCGGTTGAGCTCCTTGATTTTACCTAGAAGTCAGACACAAGGCATGAAGGTTTCTGTTTCAGAAGTTGCCTTGGGGGGAAGGGGAAGGGTAGAGAGATCCATGTGGACAAAGGAGGTGTCTTTTTGCCTTCTTGCTTGTCTGGAGGGGGGCGTAGCCCATTACCAACTAGAGCTTACTTGGAGTGGAACCTCTTGTTCTGTGGTGGCGTGAGGACTGCTGGGGACAGCTAAGCAATGGACTTCAGATGAGGGAATTGAGGGAAGGAAAGGGTTCAGAAGTGAAAGAAAGCTTTCCTCTGGGGCTCCTGCTTCGTTGGAGGGCAGAGCATGTGCCTTGAGTTTCTTTCTGAGACAGTAAGTCCTACTACAGAGAAAATGCGAAGGGCCCCCAAGAAAGCAGTAGAATGGAATCTGACTGAGTAGCTAGCTAGGCCCAGCTATTCTGCAGAGATGTGTAGGTTATGGTTTGGCTCAACAGGATCATACTGCTCTGATGAAGGCGCCCATCCTCAGAAGAGCAGTGGGGTGAGGTGAAATTCCAAGCAAAGATGAATAGTGGAAACAGATTTTAAGTACTTTATTGTTTTTGTTTGTTTTAATGAATCCAGGCACCCTATCCCCAATGTGCCCTCCCTATTTATTATTTATAAATCAGCTTCAATTTAGGAAATTCCTAAGATGAGATATCTGTTCAACTCTCTCCCTCCACCTCCTGCCCCCCAAACAAGCTAGTTGCATGACAGTTGAGACATTGGGCCTCCAGAAATGTGCCCAGAAATGTGTGCAAAGAGACATTTGGTGCTGTATAAATGGTGACTTGAAATTATTGTTATGCTGTATGCTCTTGACATGTTGAAAAGAAGTCCAACTTTATCAGCATTTTAAAGTGTTTTCAATTGTTTTATTTGTCTGGCGTCTTCTGTTCCTGTGCTGATGTCCCTGAATGCTAAAGAGGAGGAAATCTGAGAAACAAATGGACTCCTTTCTCTGCCTAGTCACCTCTCCTTTCCACCCACACTCCAGGGATCAAGCATCAGATTCCTGGGGTTCTAGGAATTACACACGTGTTTGGGAAAGCGGAGAGGAAGGTCTTGGTACAGCAGTGAAAAGAGGCAGCCTAGATTGAGACCAGCTCTTCCCAAAGAATGAGTCAAAACCTGTTCACTCTTTCGGAAGAGTTAGCATCAACTGCAAGGCACTGTAGGAAGAGCAATGTGGAATTAGGGGTAGGTTATTTGGTGGGAGAGGATTTCAAAAAAGAACTTTAGAATAATTTTTATAGTCTATGGCGGGGGAGGGGGAGGAGGAGACGGAGACGGGAAGAAGAATCTGGCAAGTGAAAAGAGGCTTGTTCATTTACCTTGGTTAGCCCTACTGCGTGAGCCCTTTCAAGCAAGTGGCCGCCTGCTTTCTTCCCCCACCCGTCCAAGCCCTGCTTAGAGATAATAGAATTCCTGGCTTTGGACGGGACAGCTTCTAGATCTCCAGGCTCTGAGGAGGTGGGGGGAGGACAAAGAACACCGCCAGCCTCCTCTACATGGGGAACAGCCAGGGCGGCGATCAGACTTATCTGCTTTTGTGTACGGCAAGGAGTTTGCTATGAATCTGCTCGGACTTTTCCTTTTTCTTCTGAACATCTATGGTTATCCTGCCAGGAATGTTTTGTTTGTGGGTGCTACGCACAGCCCCCTTCCCAATATGCCCCCAGCCTTGTTCAAGTGGACAGTGCACGATGAGGATGCGATTCTGTATGCGCTGTAATGTCACTTTGCTCGTAGTGGAATGTAATGATACCCCCTCACTTCAGTATTTTTGAGCTTCATGGATGTATTACAACTTTTCCTTCCCATCTTGACTCTTTAGGTCCTTATCCGGCCACCGTTACCCCCCTTCTCTCCCCTCCCCCCTTTTTTCTTTTAATCTAAATCAACCGGTTCAGAGGCTGGTTTTCCTCCACGTCAAAGGGCCAGTACAGATTTATTTCCAGGGCTGGAGGAAGAAGTGGGGAAAAGAAATGTTTAACATATATTCAGGAGTGACCTAGGTTATGTTTTTCTCCCCCCTCTTCCTCCCCCCTTCTATAAAGGGAGTACCAAATTATGGTCAGATATCTTTCAAGCCCTGTTTTTTTTTTTTCCGTTTTGGTTAAATAACCACAAATTAATCTGTATAAGCATGGAGAGTCCTTTTAATCAACAATTTCAAGCAACAATAGCAAAAGTAATGTATTACCTTTGACCCATGTGCTTTGTGGATTTCCCCCGCCCTGGACAGTGTAAATTTCTCTCCTTGTAATGCTTCTGAGACAGTGTATATAGATGTAAATAGCTCACAGGTCAATTCACACCCTTCTCTTTGTACTAGGTCCATTTGCGTAGAATGTGGGGTTAAAACAGCAGCGACAGTGCATTGTCTGTAATGTAACAATGTAATTTTTTTTTTACAATGTAGTTTGTGTACATATTGTTTGGCAGTGCTGGTGCTGCCTCGGCTGCAGCTCTGCCGCTACAGTACTGTCATTAGCTGTACAACTTCCTGCAGAAAGAGACAAAGTGAATACAAATGTTATTTTCTACAGTTGCATGTACAGAGATGAGCGCCAGAGACATGCTGTTGTCCCTCAGAGATAATGTTCGTAAATAAATTTTAAAAAAACAACCACCACCACCTTGTCTGTCCTTTTTAAGTGTCTCAGAGTTACTGGGGTGGGATGGTGGGGGGTAGAGCAGGGTGAGCATTTATATCAATCATCAGAGGGGAGAAACATAATTTGGATAGCTAGACCCTATGTCTAACTCAGCATGGAGTTCAAACATCAGCCTAGGGTCAAATGCATCTCTGCCACTCATTACTCATGTATGACATGGGGCAGCTAACACCCTCATAAAATGAGAGTTGAGACTGGAGGACCTCCCGGGGTCTTCAAGGGCCCTCTCTGAACTCCTGGCTCATCATCTCCTCTAAAACACTTGTTCCCACATGGCCTTTCCCACCTAACAGGATATAAAGGGGCAAGGCAGATAGGCATTACTTGATGTCACTGCTTCTCACCCCCTATACTGAAGCCAACACATCCAGACCTCATTCCTACCCTTACCTGTTACAGATAGCTTCCTTCGTTCTGATTACCTACCTTTGCTAGCTACATGGCACTCATAAACTGGCTTGAAACCCTCCTCTGCCAGTCCCTAAGTGCTCTGTCTTCTCCCACTAGACGGGAGGACTTTGTTTTGTGAAAAATGATTACTCTTGATCATCTGTGTCTGGGAGACTCATAGCTCACACGCCACACCCACAGCCTTCTGTCCAAAGTTCTTCAGAAGGACATTACTGATAATAAGGTTGCATTGGATCCTTATCCTGGTCAAACTCCAACCCAGGTGTGAGTTGGTTTTATCCTACTCAGGTTTGGGTAGAGACAGATTCCCAAAACTGGGGGTGGTATTTCCTTTGTCTAGATGACAGGTGATAGCCCCTGATAACCAAGATAGTGATGGAAGTCATGTACTCAAGACCTCATTTTAATATAGCCCACTTCCTGGTATATAGACCAATCAGAGTTGATTGGCACCCCTGGGGAACACCTACTCTTCGTAGGACATATAACCCTATACTCCCAAATCCCAAATAGAGCTAGTTCTGAACTGACCCCCTTGGGGGCGGCCTAGTTTTGGACTGAGCTCCCATGCAATGCTTGTCAAGCCAGCTTGAGAGAAATTGAACCATGGACACACGAACCCTAATTTCGTTTGTCTCTTTCTTAGACTGTAATTTATTGGGGTTTGACAGTTTTTATTTTTGAATTTATTGTCAAATATCTCCCCCCTCCCCTATTAAGAAAGCCTTCCCTTGTACTAAAGATTAAAAGCAAAATATAATGCAAAACCAAGTTTGGCACCGCATATAAACATCCCGTACCTATTGTCTCCAACTTCTTTAAAAAAAGGAGCATTTTATCTCCATTGGAATCAAGTTTGGTCGGTCAATAAACAATATTCAGTTTTTGCTTTGTTTTCATTTACATAGTAGTCTCCCTGTATGTTATTTTCCTGGTTTTGCTTAATTGGCCCTGTATCATTTCATGTAAGTCTTCCCATGTTTTCTTGAAGTCTTCATTATATGTTAGCAATAATATTCCATTCTATTAATGTACCGTGATTTGTTTAATCTAGCCCAGCACAGTACCTAGCATATTGTTGTCCTATCTGTGACCTCCGTGACTCTGGACCATAACACACCAACATTATCCATGGGGTTTTCTTGGTAGATATTGGAGTGGTTTGCCATTTCCTTCTCCAGTGGATTAAGGCAAAGAGAGGTGAAGTGACTTGCCCAGAGTCACATAGTTAGTGAGTATCTGAGGTAGGATTTGAAATCAGGACTTCCTGAATCCAAACTCAACGCTTTATCCTCTGAGCCACCTAGTTGTCCTCCCATAGTAGGTACTTAATAAATGCTTGTTGACTACTAGCACTAAGTTTTTTAATAGCCTGGGTGAGTGGTGCCCAGAAATTCCTCTGCTGACTTGCCTCTCCTGTCTTTATCCTAAAGAGTTTTTGGAGCAATAATCTAGGTAGCTGTGTGGGAATAGACAAGTTTCTCACTTAGCTGGCGTAACTTCACACTGAATTGTATCTTCATTATTTCTAACAAAAAAAAAAAAGCCCATCTCTTAATGGTTAATGGATGAAAATGAAGGATGGAAATGAAGTTTCAGGGAGTCAGATGAAGCAGCAGGAAGACCAAAAGACAGAGTATCTGGGACCAGAATAATGGGTACAGGAAATTTCGGCTCTCATTTTAATGTTTTATTTTATTTATTTATTTATTTGGTTAGGCAATAGGGTTAAGTGACTTGCCCAGGGTCACACAGCTAGTAAGTGTTATGTGTCTGAGGCTGGATTTGAACTCAGGTCCTCCTGAATCCAGGGCCCGTGCTCTATCCACTGCGCCACCTAGGTGCCCCATTTTATTTATTTATTTACCAAGAACAATCTTTGGGATGAGAACAAAAATACTTAACTGGGAAATTAAGACTAGTGAGGAGTTAAGATCAAGATGTCCTGAATAAATTCCAAGTTACCCAGACCAGCTAATGGGTATAATTAGAGGGTGCTCATGAGCCACTGTTGGTAATATATGGGAGGAAAATGTGGAGAATAAGGGAGGGCCCTTGGTTTTTGTTTTTTTTATTCTCTTTGTATCCACAGTGCTTGGCACAGAGTCAGCTTAATTAAATGCTCACCGACTGACGGAAATGTTCTCAGGAAGAAAAGTTGTCGTGGGTGATGACTTCCTGATGAAGGGTAACTAGGTGGCCACATATCAACCAGATACAATGACAGTGAGGGGGAATATGCTGGCTTTCCAGGACATGGATTCTAGATGCAACAGGGAGCCTCTCTAAGGCCTGTCATAGCCAACAACCAATATGGACTCCTCATGATTTCTGTGGGAGTGAAGTATACTTCTGGGAGTAACCTAGAAAGTATTGCTGGGATTGTGAAGCCATGGTCAAAAAGCTAACCTTAGGGAAATAGGTGATAATTGCATTGCCTACTGTTGATGGAAGGTAGAGGTTTCAGAAGGAAAAGGACAAATTTGTGAAATGAACAGCTGGATAAGAAGGTGGTGCCTGATAATAGGGGTTTGGACTTCTTAACCACACCTTAAAGTCAGTCAGTCAACAGATATGCTCTAAACTGTGCTAGGTACTGGAGACAAAAGTGAACCTATCCCTCAAGAAGATTACATTCTAATGTCTTAGATAACGCGTGTATATTTGTGTGTGTGTGTGTGCGTATACATGAATCTATACATATACATACACACTTACCTGTGTGTACATACATGTATATATGTGTGTATAGATGTACATATATAGTATTACGCAGATGCAAGGTAACCTTGGAGAGGAAGGCCCTAGCAGCTGAAGGACCAGAAAAAGCCTCCTGTGGAAAACGATTCTTCACCCAAGTCTTAAAGAAAACCAGGAATTCCAAGAGGCACAGGGTGAGTATTCTAGACACAGAGAGGAGTCAGATATGTCATGTGTGAGAAGGCCAGTATGGAAGGTCCTTAGAGTATATGGAGGGGAACAATGTTTAAGAAGAGTGGTTATGTAGGAAGGGGCCAAATTTTTGGAGAGTTTTAAGTGTCAGACCAGTTTATATTGATCGATTACTTAGAGTCACCAGAATTTACTGAATGGGCTGACCTGTGCCCATTCACTTTAGGTGAAATCACTTTGGTGGCTGTGTGGAGGGCTCTTAGCCAGAGATGGAGTACATCTAATGGGGGCTGGTAAAAATAGATTCACTTGAAGACTTGTGGATCTGATCATGAGTGCATTAAGCTGAAGACAAGAAGGGAGGGAAAAAACTAGGTCCATGAGTTTGCAAAGTCAGAAACTACCAGAGAGTAGCGGGCATGGCATATGAGAGCTCCTGTAATTCACTGGAGATGATATTCAAGAAGAACAGTGACAAAACCATGCCCTATGCCCTAAGCAAGGGCACAGATTATGAATTACAAATAAGATAGACTAGTTATCTTTTTTTAAAATTTCATTTCAGTTTTTAATCACAGTGTACCAAATGCCAATTAAAATGAGCATTTCTGTGTACATTATGGAACAGAAGAGGATTGTCTGTGAAATTGTGAATCTCTTTCATATATAGTTTGCTTTTCTTTTAAAGTATATAATATACTCAACATGTAACTTTCAAAGCTATCCTGCTTATCTGTGATTCCTTTTGTTCCCTTCTCATTTAGGGGATTAGGGTGGGAAGAGGAAAATCCCATCTTAACCTCCCCCTCTTTCTTCTACCTACTCCCAAAATAGAAAAAAAAAGCACTTGTAACAAATAGTATACAATCAAAATTTATTCTTGAATTGGCTATGTTGAAAAATATATGTTTCCATCTAAATTTTAAGTCCATCACCTCTCTATCAGGAGGTAGTTAGTATGATTCATCTTTGGTCCTCTGGAATCATGATTAAGTCACAGGATTGATTAGAGTTTTTAAATCTTCCAAAGTTGTTTACCTTTACAATGTTGTTTTTAATTGTATAAATCATTCTCCTGGTTTTGCTCACTTTGCATCAGTTTATACAAATCTCTCCAGATTTTTCTGGAACTATCCTCTCTATCATTTTTTGAATATAGTTCAAGACTGGACTATGGAAGGATATAAGAGATTCAAAGGAACCTATTAGATGAAGGTGGTGATGAAGTAGCATTTTAAATTAAGAACATATACTCATATAAGGAAATCCACTAACAGGGCAAAGACATGATGGAAAGTATAAAGAGGGGGTAATAGAAGTAAAGTTAATGTAAGAAGTATGCTACAGTCCACTGAGCCAGAATGGAGAAATGGACGAGGGGTTTAGAAAACACTTCCCAATCTTGCAGTGGAGTCATGATATAGTAGTGATGGGAGACTTCAACTATCCACACAGCTGCTGAAACTCTCTACTACTTTCTCCACTAAAGGTAGAACCATTGATTTCCTCTTGAGTTACTCCAATGAAATATAAAGGTAGAACTTATTAGCTGTATGACCCTGGGCAAGTCACTTAATGCCAATTACCTCGCCAAAAATAAAGAAATAAATAAGAAATGTAAAGATAGAGGAAATAACAAAGCGGGCTG